AGCTCAAGTGGTAGAGCGCTTGCCTTGAGCTGAAGAGCTGAGGGACAGCGCCCAGGCCCAGAGTTCAAGCCCCATGACCAACAACAAAAAAAAAAAAGCAAAGGTCTCAGCCAGCAAACAATAATAAACTTCAACTAAGTTTAAGTCTATAAAAGATAATGTGTATACACACATGCTTTTACCAAGATATAAAAGTAAAACTCTATTAATACAGGAACATTGTAGTATTAAACGGCAAATTACCGAATCAATCCTGTGTACCATGCTGTGCACTTGCAAAGATTTATCCCATTTAACTCTGTTTCCAGGTTGGTAGAGGAAATCAGATAGTTTATTTGATGGTTCTGGAATTACCCCTTCAACACGGTATCTATAATTAGGCAAAGGAAATTTAAAACTTTAGTTTAAATTAAAAGTATACCACTATTAAAATTAAGGTTAGGTTAATTTATCAAATTATAGTGAAGAAAATTGGAAGGTAATATAGAGTATTCCTTGTCTGAAAGGCTTGGGAGTAGGGATGTTTTAGATTTTGAATTTTTGGAGTGTGTGTATGTCAAATATGCGTGTGCTTGCGTGTACATTTGCATATGCATAATAAGTGATCTTGGAGATAGGACTCAAGTCTAAACAATATGCATTTAGATTCCATATGGAACTATGCATTCATCTATCTCTATATCTACACCTATGTAGACAGAGATATCTATATCTCTATATCAATTTTTATATAATTTTAAAAATAATTTTATGCGTTAAGTTTTCATGATGTTGAAGTCCTACTTGGGGATCATGGTGGTACTCAAATAGTTTCAGATTTTGTAGCATTTTGGATTCATCGTGGATTCTAGCCTTGAATTATGGCGCTCAACCTTTTATCAGTAAATTCAACACACTGATTTTTATTGAGAAGTAACAAATACTTAAATATTCACTGCAATCATTTATTTAAAAATTAATTTCTCTACAGATTTTATAATATTTCAATAGCTGTCTTCTTAAAAGTGCTGCTTTTCTTTAAACTCCTTAATGTAAAGTTTCATACTTTCAGAGAAACCAAAGTTTAAAGAGCTTATTACTAAATTTGGTATAAGACTGAAAAACCAACTTGAATAATAATGATCAGGTTCTTTTTTTTTTTTTTTTTTGGGTCCGGTCGTGGGGCCTGAACTCTGTCCTTCAGCTCTTCAGCTCAAGGCTAGTGCTCTACCACTTGAGCCACAGCACCACTTCCAGCTTTTT